GCAGAGATCTTTCACATCACCTCCTGCTTGGTCCTTTTAACTGGAGAATAGTTATAACAACGTGCATTAAGATTTAAGGAGCAAAATGCTTATACATTAATAGGGTCATATGAACGAAAGAAGAACCCTGTTGGATCAGACCAGTGGTCCATCTAGTCCAGCATCTTGTCTCACAGAGAGGCCAACCAGTTTCTCTGGAGGGCTGACAACAGGGCGTAGAGGCCGAGGCCTTCCCCTGATGTTGCCTCCTGGCACTGGGAATCAGAGGTTTAGTGCCTCTGAATATGGAGGTTCCCCTCAGTCACCATGGCTAGTAGACATGAATCTGTCTAATCCCCTTTTAATCCAAACAACGAGGGGGAAAGACTAGTGTCACAGGAGTCCCAAATATACAAATTCCACTAGTAGAAGAGAGAATCATAGGGAGAACCTATGATTCACTTCTTACACTGTGAACCTTGGGGTCCGTTGAAATTGCTGAAATCGGGTTCCATTTACACAGCCGGCAAACTGAAGAAGTCGAAGGAAACACATCTTCCAAGTATCTAGAACGGGCGTCTTTGCAAAGGCTGTTTGGAGAAAGTTATGACTATGTGGACTCCTATCAAATTACACTGACTACATGGACTTTATGTCTTATCTTCAAGGAGGAAACATTCTATCTTATGCCTTATTATAGTTACAGTATGCATTAATGTTGTTGCTGTCACACCACCAACTTTATAATTGTTTAATATATTGTTTTGGTCATCCCCTTTTAAAGCTGCTTATTCCTGTGGCCATCATTACATCCTCTGGCAGCGAATTCCACATTTTAATCACTCTCTGTAAAGTAGTATTTCCTATTCTCTAGGGCCTGCTCAGAATGGTACTTAGTGATCCTTAGGCCCCTCACTGAATTACAGTTCTAGGAAGATTTGGTGTGTGTGTGTTATTTATTACTTCCATTTATATCCCACCCTCCCCGCGAACAGGCTCGGGGTGGCTTACATTAATCGGCATGAGGTACCATAAAATCCACATAAAACATTTTAAATATTTTAAAACAAGTAAATAATCAAAGTGCTAGCAGTAATCATTCCTTTGTTAATTAATTATTTTTAATTTTTAAAATTTTATTATATTTATACCCCGCGAAAATGGCGGGCTATATGGTGTAATAAGCAAGATTTCAGGCTCAATGATTCTTCCAGCATCACACCAAGGTATGGCTCAATTTCCAAACTGGGGCCAGCCGCGTTACCACAGATGTTGGTGGTAGTGGTGAGGGTGGCTCCTAATTGAAAGCCTGGTGGAAGAGCTCCGTCTTGCAGGCCCTGCGGAACTGTAAAAGATCCCTCAGGGCCCTGATCTCTTCCGGGAGCTCGTTCCACCAGTATGGAGCCACCACTGAAAAGGCCCTGGCGACAACTTCCTCTTAAGCTACTTCAGCTCTGTCTTGCAACTATGACTCCTCATATCATATACTCATGAGGGTTTTGAAAAAATGTTTCTCCCCCCACACCCTTTCTCCAAGGACGTGATGGGAAGCGTACATGGTCCCTGCTACCTCCTCCGTTTGATCCTCGCAATAGCCCTGTGAGAGAGGTCAGTTAGGTTGAGAGGTAGTGTCTGTCCCAAGATGATCCAATGAGCTTCATGTCTGAGTTGAGTTTTGAACCTGGATCCCTCCCCAGTACTAATCAGATGCTCTAACCCAGGGGTGTCAAACGTGCAGCCCGGGGGTCAGATGAGGCCCCCGGAGGGCTTCCCTTAGTTCTGCTGCTGCATCGTAGCCTGCTTCACCAGACTCTCGTAATCACTCAGCCATTTCATGTTTTAACCTGGGTCTTAGACTCTGAGCATGAGATTTCTGTGGTGAATGTCAATAAATCAAAAGTAGGCTTGCAGCTTACAGAGCTAATGTTTTAAGCATGTTTTTATTTTAAGTTTTAAAAAAATCTTTGTGTTTGTGGCTTTTATAAAGTTTATATCTCTGCTGACTGGCATTAGGTTTTATGACACACATAGCCCGGCCCAACAAGGTCTCATTTATGTCGGATCCGGCCCTCATAACAAATGAGTCTGACACCCCTGCTCCGACCACTGTATCTCAGTAGCTCTTCTTAGATTTGGGCCAGATTTAGGCTTGTATCTATACAGAGTGGAATGGCAAACTTTTCTTTTTAGGAAAATGACTGACTCCTATTCAGTATTAAAGTATTTTTGAAACTTCCTCGAGTTAAAAAAAAATTAAAGTTTTTGGAACTTAGAGTTTTTAAAAAGGACCTTGCCCATGGTGGCAGAAGGGGGCCACTGTTTGGGAAGGTCAAGTGTTAGAGCCTCCTTAATTGGGCAGGTGGAACTAGTTACAAAGCTCATAGATCCTAGTAAAAATGCAGAAGGTTGTCTTTTTAGAAATGTTTCTGTGCCTTTAAATACATCCCATTGGAATGCGTTTGTCAGATTATGAACATTTTTCCCCCTTGCCTAATAGCTTATCTTCTCTAAGCTTTACACACAGTATTATCAGAGAGGTCTTTATATATAACCCTTCTCTTGTAGACTGAAATCCGAATGGGAAGAAAGTTAGACCGAAGAACAAGTGCGGCATTGATGACTTAGGGAGACGCTGAAGGGCGCACTTGTTTTGTGCGGTAACGTTGTTTCAGAGCATTGACGACGGAACGAAGAGCTCAGTTATGTTTTTGGAACATTAGCGGTTTTTGTCTTTCGCCACCGGCCATGTTTCCTGGCTCCTTGGGTCTGTTTTCATGAGCGGCTCGTCCATAGCAGAAAAATGCAGGAACCAGATTTGGCGGAAATGCCTAGCAGTGTAGGAGTCTCAAACTGGACTTTTTTAAAGCATTTGTCAGCAGAGGTGTACGCCCTCTCGCTCCCTGAGACCACCGAGGGGGCTGACGGATACCACCTCAGCCAAAACCTTCCCAGTGAGGATGGCGACGGGGGAAATGATGAAGCCTCTCCGGACAGCCTTCCCGATGCTTTTGCTGCAGAAGCTGGTAGCACTTGGGGGGATTTTGAAGGTTTCAGTGAGGTCACGTCGGAGAACCAGAGCCACATCCCAGCGTCCTTGGAGAATTTAAATGGAGAGCAAGCTTCTACAAAAGGCACAGATGTCAATGATAATCACTGTACTACCTCATGTGGGCACGTCTCTTTCCAAACCGCTGGACAGAACGGAGGAGAGGTTTTCCCTAATGTTCTGATGAAGGTATGTGTTTTCCTAACAGTGGGTCTCCCTCTCTGCTCGATCCCGCTCTCTTCTCTCCTCATAGCTAAGCAGGGTAAAAGCAGCAACATTTTGTTCTCTGTAAAATTAGAACAATATACTTAAGCTCACATATTCAGATAAATCCCCTTCCCTCTCCTGCTCCTGTCTCCCCACGAGAGCACCTTAGTCTTACGTTTTTATCCGTTTTTGTCAGTTTTGCATTTCTTAATCTGGGCAACAGGCTTGTACAGTTAAATTGTGTCCCATCCGTGCCGAACAATACAATAGATGGATCTCTGTTTAAGATGACCAGGAATCAGTTTTTAAATTGCTTAGATGGGGAGTAGCAGCGGCCAAAGTCCATTTTAGACTTGGTTGCCCGGTTATGTAATCCTTGAGCAGGTAAAGTGTTGCATTAATCTCTGTGGAGCTACTTATGGGAGTAAGGAGCAGATTCCTCTAGTTGTTGCATGTTTTCCCACTGTGCAAAAGTTCAGTAATTTTGATGCTTGAACAAGCAGATTTCTGAAAAGCATATTACAATTTTGTGGAGCATTGTTGCTTCCAGGAGCCCTTTTCTTTCTCTCCTTTTCTCGCCTTTTCTTTCTCTCCTTTTCTCTCTTTCTCGCCTTCTCTCTCTCTCTCTTTCTCTTTCTTTCTCTCTGCCTTCTTTGTCCTCCCTGCCATTTAGTTTGGCAGCCTGCGTGACCTTGTTTACCGCCATACATTAGATCAGATGTAGTGCCACGAGTTCTTTGGTGAAACTGTGTGGGTTGCCACGACCAATAGGATTAAATGGGGATATGGACAAAAGAGCCTGAGGACTGTAAGCAGTGTTCCCTCTAAGCTGAGTTAGTGTGAGCTAGCTCACAGTTTTTTAGCCTCTGGCTCAGACGTTTTTGTCTTAGCTCAGGAAGGATGGCTCCAGAGCGAACTAATTTATGCAGTAGCCAAATCACTCACTCACAGCTTTAATGCCAGTAGCTCACAAAGTAGCATTTTTGCCCTCAAGACTCCACAGCTTAGAGGGAGCATTGAAAATAAGAAGGAAAAGGGCACCTGAAATCATGTTAAGTGTGCTCGGCCAGGGCCAGAAACTTGAAGGTGGGAGGTATCTTCTGACGCTTGTGAAGAATGCACAAGCCAAGTCGTTTTCAGCTCAGCCCTAGTTGACATGCTGCTGCTGCTGGAACGCAAAGACGTGTTCTCTGTTTCCTTCTGCAGCTGCTACAATAGAGGTCTACGTGTTTGACCTCCAGGAGGCTGTAGGAAATCTAGGAGGCTGTTGTATTCAGAGAGGATAATTAGTAAGGTTGTAGCCGTCTGACCTTTCTGTAGAATCAGAAATCTGCCTGAGAATGTACAAGAGAGTACAGGCCAGCAGCACGCAGACCTGGTTCAGATGTCACAGTGGTGTAGACAAGCCACAATGTTGGAAGTGAGCCGTAATGATGAAAGATGGGGGGACGGGGTGTGTGTGTCACGTTCTTCTTGAATGGACAGCTAGAGAACAGTAGTGGAATATCTTTTATCCTTTCCTGGGTAATGGATGAGAAATACAGAGTATTGTTGAATTTTTAAAGGCCAAGGGAAGGAGAGCAGTCGCTCAAACAACTCTGAGGTCCCTGTTAGCAGTTGTATGAACATGTACGGTGCAGGGAACCTTTCTATCTTTGCAAGGACACAAAGAGCCAGCGTAGTGTAGTGGTTAAGAGTGGCAGACTCTCATCTGGAGAACTGGATCTGATTCCCCACTCCTCCTCCACATGCAGCCTGCTGGGTGACCTTGGGCCAGTCACAGTCCTCTCAGAGCTCTCTCAGCTCCACCTGCTTCACAAGGTGCCTGTTGTGGGGAGAGGAAGGGAAAGGTGAATGACCTGCTTTTCTTCTTTTTTTTGGTGGGAGCGGTATAAAACATCAGAATCAGCCTCAATGTATTAGGATCGTTTTCCTTTCCCCCCCTCTAGGCTAGCCTCAGCTCTGAAGATGTTATTAAACTGAGCTTTCCAGAAGTTCCTGTACCACAATTCTTGGAGAACATAAGCAGCTTGAATCAGATGCTCGGTACAAACACCGAAGACGTGGGCGTTCCCGAACATGCAAAAATGCAACCTTGGTAACTGTATGAAATATTAGATAATGACTACCTGTCTGTCGGGCTGTTCCTAAACTGTTTGTGGCATGCAAATTGGAATTCTTAAAAATAATTGTTAAGTTGATGAGTATTCATGCCACATAGTCTTGTTTATTTCTGGAAGAAGAGGTTTTTCTAGTTGGTGGTGCAGGATATAGTCCCATCCGGTTAGGACTATGGGATGGAGTGTTCCCTCTAAGCTGAGGCTGTGTGAGCTAGCTTTTTTTAAGCCTCTGGCTCACACATTTTTGTCATAGCTCAGGAAGGATGGCTCCAGAGCAAACTAATTTATGCAGTAGCCAAATTGCTCGCTCGCAACTTCAATGCCAGTAGCTCACAAAGTAGAATTTTTTTGCTCACAAGACTCCACATCGGTAAGAGTACCACTTGACTGACTTGACTGGTTTCTGTCTGTTTTCTACAAGGTGTTTTGCTTCGTTTCAATGTAGAGAGTGTTAATTCTACTCCCTGTTTGCAATGTAGAAGCATGGAATCATAGAGTTGGAAGGGGCAATACAGACCATCTAGTCCAACCCCCTGCCCAATGCAGGACCAGCCTAAAGCATCTCTGACAAATATTCGTCCAGCCTCTTCTTGAAAGCTGTCAGTGAAGGGGAGCTCACCACCTCCCTAGGCAGCCGATTCCACCCCTGAACCACTCTGACCGTGAAAAAGTGTTTCCTAATATCCAGCCGATACCTTTCTGCATGTAACTTAAACCTGCTGCTTCGGGTCCCATCCTCTGCTGCCAACTGGAACAGCTCCTTGGCCTCCTCCAAATGACAGCCTTTCAGATATTTAAAGAGAGTAATCATGTCCCCCCTCAGTCTCATCTTCTCCAAACTAAACATTCCCAGGCCCTTATAGCCTTTCCTCTTAGGGCTCAGTCTCCAGACCCCAGATCATCCTCGTCGCTCTCTTCTGCACCCTCTCGATTTTGCCCACACCCTTTTTGAAGTGAGACCTGCAGGACTGCACACAGTACTCAAGGTGCGGCCTGACCAAGGCAGCATACAGAGGGGCTATGACCTCCTGCGGTTTGGATGCTAATACAACCCAAGACTGAATTTGCCTTTCTTGCCACCGCATCACACTGACTGCTCATATTTAGTTTACAGTCCACTCTTACCCCAAGATCTCTTTCGCATACACTACTCCCCAGAAATGTATCCCCCATCCAGTATTTGTGCTTGACATTTTTGTGGCCCAGATGTAATACTGTGCATTTGTCTTTGTTGAATTGCTTCCCGTTCACAATTGCCCACTTCTACAGAGTATTCAGGTCTTGTTGAATTTTAACTCTTGGGTGTTTGCTACTCCTCCCAATTTGGTATCATCAGCAAATTTAATGAGTAGCCCTTCATCCATATCATTGATAAAAATATTGAAAAGTACCGGGCTCAAAACTGAGCCCTGTGGCACCCCACTGGACACTTCCCTCCAATCTGATGAAACGCCATAGACCACCACTCTTTGGGTGCACAGCTGTGCCAGAACTATGGCTTGCCCAAGGTCATCCAGCAGGTGCAAGTGGAGGAGTGGGGAATCAAACCCTGTTCTCCCAGATTAGAGTCCACACACTTAACCACTACACCAAAGAAGGAAATCAAGTTGGTCTGACAAGATCTGTTGGGGACAAAACCATGTTGACTTCCCTGGATCACTAAGTGGTCCTTCAGATGCTTACAGATCGATCCCTTTGAAATCTGCTCTAATATCTTTCCAGCAACAGAAGTCAGACTGACTGCCCTGTAGTTTCCCAGGTCATCCTTCTTCGCTTCCTTAAAGATTGGGATAACATTTGCTAGAAGGGACCTCAAGGGTCATCTAGTCCAACCCACTGCACAATGCAGGAAATTCACAACTACCTCCCCCCCCCACTCCCCAGTGACCCCTGCTCTATGCCCAGAGGAAGGCAGAAACCCTCCAGGATCCTGGGCAAATCTGGCCTGGAGTAAAATTCCTTCCTGACCCCAAAGCGGCGATCGGCATTACCCTGGGCATGTAAGGAAGGGCCACGAGAGCTGAGCACTGGTCCACCTGTTCTCATCCTCCTTCTCACAGTCTGCTTAAAATCACAGAATCTGCACTGTTGTCAGATGGCCATCAGGCCTCTGCTTGAAAACCTCCAAAGAAGGAGAACCCACCACCTCCCGAGGAAGCCTGTTCCACTGAGGAGCCGCTGTAACTGTCAGGGAGTTCTTCCTCATGTTGAGCTGAAAACTCTTCTGATTTTAATTTCAATCCATGTTGACTGTGGCCATTCCCGCAACGTAGTTCCTCCCAACTGACGAGGTGTTTTACTTGTTCCCTGGGAGTCTCCCCATTAATTGTAGTGACCTGTCAACAGCTGTTGTTTTATTCACCATTAATATGATTTTATTCAAACCTCATTGTTCCCCTTTATTTAGTACACAAATTGATCCATCCTTGTGTCTTGTTTCTTTGGGTCATGATGTTGGTAGCCTGTGCCGATCGCTAGTACAAGAACAGCAGACCCACATTTTAAAAAAAGGGACACTTCTGTATACCAAGGGGAACCTCCAGGTATGCTGAGAAATAGGATTTTTCTTCCTTTACTCTGAAAAGGGGTGGGGGAACCCCATCAAAAGCAGACAGAGTGAGCACGTGTGAAGCCCTAGCACAGGGGTCCCCAACTTTTTTGAGCATGTGGGCATCCTTTGCATTCTGGAGTGGGGTGGTGGGCACAACCACAAAATGGCTGCCTCAGGAGCTGGTGCCAACCGCAAAATGTCAGGGAGTGAGGGTATGCGTAACTCTAATAGTAAATCTTCAGCGTTCCAGGCAGAAGCTCAGTTGAACAGGATGCCTCTTAACACGAACGTGTGGTTTAAAAATATTTTCTTGCATACACACTCCCCAAACGTGCCCCTTGTGCTCATTAGACCAGCCTTTACTGGTGATCCCCGGCCCAAAAGAAGTCCGTCTAGTGTCAAACAGGGCCAGGGACTATTCAGCCTTGGCCCCAACCTGGTGGAATGAGCTCCCGTTAGAGATCAGGGCCCTACTGGACAGGCCCATAGCTACAGTGGGGCATCTCGGGGCTAGGCCCCCCGACTTGCTGGCAAAGCCCCCTGACTTCCCATCTACCCCAGGGTGTCACAGCCTTCTCCCCCAAATTAAATTGATTAGCCAGTGCCCCCTAAGGAATTTAAATGCCCCCTGACTTTAAAAATCCCGGCTACGGGCCTGCTACAGGATCTCTTACAGTTCTGCAGGGCCTGTAAGACGGAGCTCTTCCACCAGGCTTTTGGGTGGGGCAGCAGATGTCAAATATCATCTGGCCCCTCCTGCTGCTATTCTGCGACCATACTGTCACCATCTGCTACCATCTATTATGGTCTTCAGTTTTCAAGGACTCAGAATAGCAACCCACCTCGGTAGGGTATTTACCATCTGTAATCCCTTATGGGATTTAGCCCTCTCCGCTTTTAAATGACTAATATCGGGGGATGATAGAAATGGTTATGAAATAGTCTGATCGCCATCGTTTACGGGTTAAGTTTTATAGTGTTGGGTTTTTTTTGTAATGTCTGATTTCCTTGTCCTACAGTTAGCGCTTGTGACCCACCCTGAGTCCATTTGCGGGAAAGGTGGGATAAAAATGGAACCAAGTTAATAAATAAGTAAATAGGTCCTTGTGCCGTGGTGATGGCGGCTGTTGCTGAAGCAGCTTTGAAAAAAATCCGCACAACCGATCAGACCTTCAGTGACTAATCGGAAACCCGCTGGGCAAAAAACCAACAACAAACACCTGGCTTCACCCATGTTCTAAAAACAATGGGTGGGCAAATAAGAAGAAGAAGAGATTGGATTTATTCCCTGCCCTTCACTCAGAGTCTCAGAGCAGCCTACAAACTCCTTATCCTTCCCCTCCCCACAACAGACCCCCTGTGAGGTAGGTGGGGCTGAGAGAGCTCTTTCCAGAACTGCTCCTGAGAGAACAGCTCTGAGAGAACTTGTGACTGACCCAAGGTCATCCAGCAGCTGCAAGTGGAGGAGTAGGGAATCAAACTTAAGCACTGCACCAAACTGGGAGCCAGGAAAGATGCTGGCAAGTGTCATGGCAGTCACGGGCACAGTGTTGGGGGCCCCTACCCTAGCAGTATGAGGGAAAGTACAGCAAGCCCATGTGGGGCTGCTTGCCTATAGTGCAGCAGTGGCCAAACTTGTTTAACATAAGAGCCACATAGAATAAACGTCAGATGTTTGAGAGCCACAAGATGTGAACAAATATTATACGTTTTTATTGGAGAATATGCAGATTTGCTTTTCATTAACATTAAACGAGACTGCCAACTTTAAATGTGTCCCCCAAGCCCCACCACCACCACGCCGGCTGGCTTGGCTTGGAGAAGGGATTTAAAGAGACAACTGCCTTCTCCGAGCCGGCCTGGGGGAGGGGGGCCTTTGAGAACGCATTAAAGTTGCTTTCTTTCTTTCTGTGCTCTCCTCCCCCCCCCACCAAGCCTACCTGGGGGAGGAACGCTGGCCTGGCTGGGGAAGGGAAACTGATTGAGGAGGAATGCTTCCCCTTTGCTTCCCCAGCCACCCTGCCAGGAGCCACACAATATGTGTGAAAGAGCCTCATGCGGCTCCCGAGCCACAGTTTGGCCACCCCTGTTATAGTGCTTGTTGGGGGGGGGGAGAGAAACTATAATAGTTCTGTACTGCTGCAATGCTTAGGAGGAGGGTTTGCTTCTTCACCGCTTCAGCTTTGCAGTCAGATAGGGAAACGTGCTGTAAGCGCTGGGGCCGGGGAAGAGGAGGAAATGATTTGCAGGCACCCTCGCCACATCAGTCATAAACAGCTGTGTAGGGTCGAGTTATTTTGAGGCTACAAAGTTTACTATTGGAGCTTCGGGAGGTCGGCCTGTACTGCCGAGCCCAACGCTGACCACAGAAGTCTTAAAAGGGGATATTTCCCCACAGAGCTGTTGGGGGTTCGTGGCGGGGCATGGGCGGGGCATGGAGGCTTTCTCTTCCCCGCCCCCCCCCCCGTTCCCTCCAGTAGCAGTCCTGTTGGGAAATGTTAATTCAAGACTGCAGTCTGTCTTTGCAAAGCCCTGCGACCGAGCTTTGCAGTTCTAAGGCGACAGCTTTGCAGTTCTAAGGCAGCATTTCCCTTTAGGGCTGTGAGGTGTGGGAAAGGGCATGAGTGGGTGGGTGTGGGTGCAAGGCGCCCCTCCGCTGCCTTCCATACCCTCTGCTATATGAAGGCTTTATGGAGTGGGGGAGAGAAACATATCTACTCACCTTCCCCAGAGCTTCCTCACGAATCTCCCGTTAATCTTGCACAGATAAGGGGCAATGGGGTGCGAAGCTCCTTTTTAAAATTCATTTCCAGCTTGACAGACAGCCTGTGAAGTTAGGTGCCGAGACCCTGGCACTTTAATTTTACTAATTTTATTGATTTTCTCTTGTTAATGTTTTCATACTATTCCTATGTTGTTACTGTTTTAATCCTTCTTATATCAGAATTGTACTGTTTTACTGGCTCTTGCTGTAATAAATTAGATTACATTAGATTAGACAACCCCCCCACCCCACCAGTGTTCCCTCTATGCTCAGGAGCAATGTTCCCTCTAAGCTGTGGAGTCTTGTGAGCAAAAATTCTACTTTGTGAGCTACTGGCATTAAAGTGGTGAGCAAGCAATTTGGCTGCTTTCCTCTGGAGCCCTGCCTTCCTGAGCTAAGACAAAAATGTGTGAGCTGGAGGCTAAAAAACTGTGAGCTAGCTCACGCTACCTCAGCTTAGAGGGAACACTGCACCCCACTGATGAAAACTAAGCAGGCTCCTCTAGGAGAGGGGGAGTGTTGTGAGTAGCCAGACTTGTTAAAAGGGGTGGGGAGAAAGAAAGCAGGGATTGGGAAGGGGATTTGGTTTACAGGGGCCAGTTAGAGGTCATAAGATTCTGGAGAAGGCGATGGGTTTTTTTTGTCACATTCCTGGGTTTGTCCCAAACACAAGCAGTTCCTTTTGGGCTGCTAACTTCATCTCTGTGTCTCAAGCATCAGCCTCATTTAGATCCTGGTAATGATTATAAAAGAGGACAAAGTCCTTCCAATTTGCCCCAAAGCGACTCCTTTTCACCCTCCCTTTTTCGCAAAGAAGGAATTGTCTTTGCTGAATTTCCTGTGTCTTGGGGGAGGGCAGGGTTGTTCTTCTACAGTCAGTATTTTTGCTACCACTAACAGATAGAAAACAAAGATTGCCTGTTGCATTAATATGCTCTTGCATGCTGTTAGGAGGAGCTTTAACTACAGAAGTACGATTTCGTTATGTGCTCCCTCTAAGCCGTGGAGTCTTGTGAGCAAAAATTCTACTTTGTGGGCTACTGTCATTACAGTTGTGAGCGAGCAATTTGGCTACTGCATAAATTAGTTTGCCCTGGAGCCGTCCTTCCTGAGCTAAGGCAAAAAATGTGCGAGCTGGAGGCTAAAAAAACAGTGAGCTCGCTCACACTAACTTGGCTTAGAGGGAACACTGGTTATAATTCATATTTCTCCATCCTGTGCTGAGGGCGATCCGGGGCCAGCTGAAGGGAATGTTCAGTCGGGAGAAGAGGAGGTTGAGGGGGGGACAGGATGGCTCTCTTGAAGTATCTGAAGGGCTGTCCCTTAGAGGAGGGCAGGGAGCTGTTCCTGTTGGCCGCAGAGGAGAGGACTTGCAATAAGGGGTTTAAATTAAGGGCGGGGAGGTATCAGCTGGATATTAGGAAACATTTCTTTACAGCTAGAGTTGTTCAGCAGTGTCTAGGGAGGTGTTGAGCTCCCCCCTCCCTGGCAGTCTTCACCCCACAACAGACACCCTGTGAGGTGGGTGGGGCTGAGAGAACTCTGACACAAACTGCTCTTTTTCAAGGACAGCTGTGCCAGAGCTTGTGACTGACCCAAGGTCACATCAGCAGGTGCAAGTGGAGGAGTGGGGAATCAAACCCGGTTCTCCCAGATTAGAGTCCACACACTTAACCACTACACCAAACTGGCTCTGGATGGCCTTTATGGCCCCTTCCAACTCTGTGATTCTGTAGTCTTGATTGGACAAATAGATCATGCATGGCAGGTGGACTAAGATTGGGAACATTTAACTGAAAATTCTGGGCTCAGATTCGAGCCGAATGATGAACTCTCCTTCAGAAAGTCACTTTCAGTTCCCCATCTGTGAAATGGAAAGAGGAAGGAGGTCTCTTTGTGAGCTGGTATGCCCATGAAATAGGTATTGAGGCTTCAGGAACATCTGTGGAGGTATCACTTGGTGTGATAGAATGCTTGCTGACCTGCAGGTGAATGTGTGAGTGGGTTTGATCACCAAAAGCCAAAGTTTGGAGCTGATGCAAAAGTTCAAAGTGTTCAATCTGTGACGTGTAGGCTCCCACTCAGTGATGTAGCCATTGGGTGACAAATATGCATGTGTGAACCGGTCCGAAGAAGTTCGTGGTCCAAACTGAGCCTTTCAGCAGGCTGTACATTAAATAAATCTGCCATAAACTAGCTAGGTAATAAATGCTAGGGGGTGTGTGCTCCCACCCAATAGGCAGAAATTGGGGGAAGAGACGTTTGTGTCCAAGAACTTCCTTGCAGGTCAGATTTAACAAAATTAGCTCCATTCTCAAGATTGGCATGTAGGGTCTTTCAGACACAAAGTATAAAGTTATCTGCTGGACGACCACAAACACCAGAGAACAGCTGAACTCAGGAGTGTGTGTGTGTGTGTGTGTGTGTGTGTATATATATATGTATGTATGTATGTATTGAATACGTTGCCATGGCTTCCTTCAGAGAATCCTGGAGCTTGTAGTGAGGCTGATGAGAATTCTTCATGGAGAAACCTTCTTTTCCCTCACAGAACTACAATTCCCAGGATACATTAGGAAGCAAGGACAATTAACCCCTTTTGCACCCAGAGCACAAGTGCTTGCATTTTTGTGATCTCAGATTAACGTCTCTTGCATTTCCTTTAAAGCACAGATTCTGGGAGCTTGTGGAAACTTCTTACTCGTGCCAGGAACCCTTCTGGTTTGAGATGTCCTTGGAATGATTCTCATTGCCAGGAAAACCTTTTAGCTGTTCTTGGAGTAGATGCTCATCAAAAGGTACTTTTTTTTAAAAAAAATCCCTATAGTACTGTGGTATCTCTTTTTAACTTCAGTGAGTATGATGGTCCGGGTTAGTTTTAGGAAAACAAGTGTAACTTTTTTGTAA